ATTTCGTCTCCAGCATACTGGGAGAGAAATTCTGTTCCAGAGATAAGGAAATTGAAGTCTCAGAGGCTCAATGACCTGCCCTAACCCCACAGCTAGTCAGCGCAGAGCTGAGATTCAAATTCAAGTTCTGGCCACAGGCCGGGCCATGGCTCCTTCCTCTGCGCCGGTGCCCAGGAGGAGAAGGTGGGTGTGTCTGCCAGCTGGCAGTCTCTCCTGGTGTCCCATCCTGTGACTCATCTCCTGACCCCTGGCCTGACCGGCTCCTGGTACCTTTGGGACTGCCTCCTGGCTGGGCCCAGAGAAGTCTGAGGGGTGTAGCCGCCCAACCCCTGGGGCCTTGTGTCCACGCAGTTAGCACAACCGAACTTGACTTCTGAAGGCGTGCCGCGTGGGCTGGGCCCTCCCGGCCGTGTGCCTAACCAGCCGCCTGCAGGCCAGGCGGACTGTCTCCGGGCAGCTGCGGCGGGGAGTCGGGGCGCAGGCCGTCCGGTGCTGGGCTTTCCACGGACGCAACAGACTGCACAAGTGATGGATCCAGAGCAGGGGCGGGACAAGGGAGGGGAAAGGGGAGAGGCAGAGGGGAAGGAAAGATCAGAGCAAACTCTTTCTTTCATTTATTCATTGCACCAACACAAAAGCAAAACTACCTCCTGAGGGCCTTTATGTGCCAGGCACCCGAATGAGTCCTAGGGAAGGATGATGAGTAAATACAGAAATAGTCCCTGCTCCATTAGCAAATATTTATGGAGGACCTACTATGTGCTGGGCCTTGTCTAGGTGCTGGGCCACCTCAGCAACCAAAACAGACAACGGTCCTCATCACATGAGAGCTTATATTCTAGTGGGGGAGCCATATGACTGTCAGAAATGGAGTCAAATAGAACTTTCATAGCAACTGGAAGGTGAGAGGCGCTACGGAGAGAAACAGAACAAACCTGCAGCAGCAGCAGCGTGGGTCAGCCGGGCCGGCCCTGGGGAGGGGCAGGTCATCGCTCAATGCGATCAGGGTGGGCTTCCTGGAGGAGACGGGCTAAGTTGGCTTGAGGGTCCACAGGGAGTCGAGTAGCTGTGGGAGGAGCATGCTGGGCCGTGGGAAAGGCTGTGGTCACAGCAGGTCTGCGTCACAGGGGCAGCAGAGAGCTGGCGTGACCGCAGCAGACAAGGACCCAGAGGTCACGCCAGGAGGGCTTTGAGCCAGTTGGGGGAGCCCTGGAAGGTTTGGGGCACAGAAAGGACATGCTCTGACTTGCGTGTGCAAAAGGCCAACCTCGTCACTGTGTTGTGTTGACGGAGGGGAACAAGCGTAGGAGCAGGCGGGCCTCTCAGGAGACGGCCTCAGGGTCTCAGGCAAGAGGTGGTGCTGGCCCCGGCCGCTCAGGAGGGAGGGGTGGCGGTGGTCAGAGGGGCTGGATTTCGCATATTGGAAAGTAGCATTTCCGGATGAGGTTGTAGATGAGGTTGGATGAGGAGTGTAAGAGATCAGAAGAGTCAAGGATGCCTCCAGCAATCTAATCAGGAAATAGAATTATAAAACAAACAAACCCTCGGAAAACACGTTGCCAGGGCATGCACTACTGCAGCCTTAGTTCACATCAGGGTGAGGGGCCCATGCCTGTCAGCTGCCCGAGGCTTCCAGAACCAGGCACCACAAATGGGGCGGCTTGTTTCTTCGGGAATGTAAGTCTTGATTTCTAAATAATATTGATGTGCTTATTTATACATTTCTGACTTTATCGTTTGAATTCTTATCATGGGAGATGAGCACGGCAGGTCATTTTACTACCTGTTTGCTCCTTTTTAATGCTTCCAATAAAATTGTACCTCCAATTTTGGGCAAATCTATGTTCAAATCTGTGTAAATATTGCTCACTTGTGAGCTGAGAAACATGGTAAGTTTTGACCCAAGGAATAATTCACTGGATATCATTTCTTAACAACTTTTTTTTAAAGATTTTATTTATTTATTTTTAGAGAGAGGGGAAGGGAGGGAGAAAGAGGAGAGAAACATCAGTGTGTGGTTGCCTCTTGAGCACCCCCTACTGGGAACCTGGCCTGCACCCCAGGCATGTGCCCTGACTGGGAATCGAACCTGCAATGCTTTGGTTCGCAGCCCGTGCTCAATGTTCTCTTTGTTATAGATATGCAATTCCCACATTTATCTTAAGGAAAGTTTAGTTTGTTAGAGGCATTGTTTTTTTTTTTTGAGGTAAAGTGATTATATATATATATATAATCTAATTGCCTTGAGGAAAACCATATTCATTCTTGATATATTTGGTATCACATTACAAATAATCATTCTATGTAGTGTTTTCCAGACTAGCTTATACTTTAGGGAATTAAACCTTTTGTCTTAGCAACTGCTGATCGAAGGTTCCCCAAAGTGTACGAAGCATGCCTCTGCGTTATTGAACAGAACGGGAGGGACACCCCCTCCCTCGGCTTCTCGGAGATGTACAGATGTCATTTGTTGCCGCGTGGTGTCATCTGGTGACATCTCTGCGGCTGGTGCCTTCTCTCTCACCAGATTCTCCCAGGAACTTGCTGTAGACACTTAAAATTGATTTTGCGGAGGTGGCTGTCATTTCCCAGAGGTGGCCGTCATCGCCCTGTGAGTCAGTTTCAGGAAGGGCCCTTCAACTCCTGACGATGCACCGCATTTAATGGGCTGTCTAGCGAGCTCAGGAAGAGCTGAGATTGGCAGCAGAAGCAAAATAGGCTGGCGAAACCAGGCACCTCACCTTGAATTCCAGATCACAGGCAGCGGGCTGGTTGAATGCCAGGAGCACAGCTCCTCCGAGCCACCAGGGGCCTCGAGGGGTAAAGCTCCCGCGCTGGGTGGCATCTCTGTTCTCGTCTGCTTGGCCCATGACCAGGCAATGCCAGCCTTGATTTGCCGAAATAGTCCGAGTTTCAGACACACGGCTCACTGACGGGTATTGAGCACTTCTTTCTTCCTGAGCTCACGCCACATGCGGGGCCCTGCCATAAGCACAGTCAACCCCCAAGGGAGAAGTTAGCGTCGTCCCCACCTTAACAGGTGGGGATACTGAGGCACGGCACGTAAGCAAAGCGCCTGCGTTTATGCGGCGTGTCGGTGGCACAGCGGGACTCACGCCCACACAGGGGGACTTCAGAGCACAAGCTCTTAACCAGCACTCTGGGCAGGGGTCAGCTTTAAGGTGCCAGGACCAAGCCGTAAACGGCTCGTGGGGGCCACCGCCCACCTGCCCCATCTACGCTGTAGAGGGCGGGACGGCCCACGTTTCCACCTTTCTCTCCCGCCCTGTTGCCAGGCCACCACTTGGCACACGCAGAGTGGACTGAGCGGCTCCGAGCGCCAGCCTCTCGGGCTGTTTACAGGAAAGAGGGACAACAACAAGGACGACGTTGGCGTTCTGGTCCCTCGAAAGAAGATGAGCCGTGACCGTGTCGGTCGCCAGTGCATGACAGGTGTCTTGTTGGCAGGATAACCCCCTCCAGTGAAGAAAGGGAGCGGCCATGTCCCACGCCCTTCAGGCGGGGGCAGTGCTCTCGGGGACCGGCAGCGTTGGGGAACAAGAGGTCTCGCCTAACAGAGCTCCTGTCACTTTAACGACGTGCACTGAAGCACCGTTAGGAACCACCAGTAATGCACACTTGCAAAAACTAGCCGTTCTTTGATGGTTCTAGACGGCAGAGCCTTGCAGCTCCTCCAGGTCCTCGTTATGGACACCCCGTGGGCCATCAGACCCCGAGGGGCTGGTTCGTTGGGTTTCCGGAGCGTGCCAACTCTCAGTTTTTGTACTGACCGTCGTCTGAGATGTAGTGATTTTAGAAGACGGTGACCTGCCAGCATTCTGACATGCACCCCATCAGGGCTCTTTCGAGGTTGTTCCAGGAGGGGGCTGGAGATGCGCGCACTGCGGTTTGGTCCTCATACAAGGTGTGCGTCCGCTGGGGCCGGGATGCGGAGAGTTCGCCAGCGGAGCCCTCGGTCATGCTGCTTCTCCTCTGTAGCCGGACTCTGTCCCTCCATGGCTGCCCGTTCCAAGTCAGGCTTCCCCGGACTCGGCTGAACAGAGTGCCCAGAGGCGGGGAAGATGGGTGGGCCTATCGTTTTTGTCTTTCCAATATCGTTCAGACTTTTTTCCACCTGATTATGCGCTTGTGAAATAGCGATGGGAGCTGGGATTCACGCGGAAAGGGTCTTCGTAAACCGGGAAGTTTCCTTTGGTTAGAATGTTCTTTTTCTTTATTTCTATCCCTCCCTCCCTCCCTCCTTCCCTCCCTCCCTCCCTCCCTTCCTCCCTCCCTTCCTTCCATCCTTCCTTCCTTCCTATTCTCTCTTCAAGTGGTGCTAATACAAGGAAAATTCCAGAGCAGAAATTTCACCTACCTTGTAAATTCAGATCAAAAGAATCTTTGGTAGCAATAGTAGTTGATAGCCAGCACATCGGGTGACTAAAGTACTAACACCTAAGTACTCACTGGATATGCCTAGCCTTCGCCACCTGGCTCACACCTGACCTCTGCCCTGGGGCTTTCTTTCCCGGTCCGCCCCAGGCCCTGCACCAGCAGGGCAGCGCCGCCCTTGAACGCCCTTGTAACAGTTGGCCCCCGCTCCTGGAATAACGCACGCCCCATCGTGTTCCGACGCATGCCTTTCCTCCCGCCTGGAGGCTGAGCTTCCGGGCCGGACGAGTCACCTCGTGTCCCAGCACTCGGCGTGGGCAGGCTGGTACAGAGGGGACAGTTTGTGTCTGTTGGGTGAATGAGTAATAGCAGAACTCATTAAATTCCATCCCTCATACTGAGCGAGAGGAGGGCATGTCATCTTGAAATACTTCTAACTTTTAATAATAAACAGCTCTCTTTACTGCCTTAGAAGGAGGAGTTCAGGGCACCGCGTTTCTTTCCGACCCCCTTTCTCATTCTGTTCCCCTGCCCCCTTAGAAAACATGTACCTCGGTTCTCACGGGTTCCGGGTCTTTCTGAAGAGCACCTCTGCTTCTCTCCAGGCAGGCATCAACGAGAACGACTTCTACGACGGGGCGTGGTGCGCGGGGAGGAACGACCTGCACCAGTGGATCGAAGTGGATGCCCGGCGGCTGACCCGGTTCACCGGGGTCATCACTCAGGGGAGGAACTCGCTCTGGCTGTGAGTGTGGCCGGACCCGGGCTCTGCGGACTCCGTGCCGTCGGCAGACTCGTGTTCTGGGGTCTGGGCAGAGACCGGGCAGCTGCAGAGAGGGGGCTGGTGGCAGGCCATAGGAGGGAAGGAAGTTGGAATGCGGACAGGACGCTGGTCGTGCTGTAGACTCGAGACCCCCGGGAAGGTGCATCTCTCAGAGCGACACCCTGCCCCTCACAGGAACAGGGGAAGGACCCGCCTGGCAGGTTAGGCTGAGACAGAGGGGCAGGTGCATCACTGGTGCCCTGAGCGGTGGCCTGAACACGGCTGGAGGTAGGAGCTTTGAGCAGCAGGTGATGGGTCTCAGCCACTGTCCTGGGGGAGAAGGTCTGAGTCTTCCTGACTCCGGGAAAAAGGGTGGGAGGCCTGGGCAGGCTCCCAGCTGAAGGGCGGCTAGAGAGGTCGTAGGGATGGGCCAGCGTGAGGCCCGAGAACGAGACGACAGCCCATTTTGCAGAGTCCGGCTCATGGCCGGGGCGGGGTCCCTGACAGGTGACCCTGGGCTGCAGCCCCTTCGCGCTCTGCATGGCCTGGTGCCATCGCACAGGGGGCCGAGCTCGGATCTGGGAAGGAGGGGAAAGCAGGCACACGTCCCAGCACGCGTGAGCCTTGAGGACGTTCTTCCGAGTGCAGAAAGCCGGTCACAGGGGAGGATGGACACCGGGTGGTTCCACTCACCCGGGGCTCCTGGAGGGGGCAGATTCATGGGGACCGGAAGTAGAGTGGCGGCTGCCAGGGGCTGGAGAGGGAGCGGGGCCCTGGTGTCTCGTGGGTACAGAGCTTTGCTTTGGGGTAATGAAGAGTGCCAGAGTTGGGGGGGGGAGGGGTGGTTGCACAGCAGTGTGAGTGTACTTAACGCCACTGAACTGTGCGTTTAAAAACGGTTAAAACCATACATTTCATGTAGAGTTTACGACAATAAATGAAAAAGTAGAAGTGCAAATAGCCCCCCCCAAAATAAAACCCCTCTTCCCCTCCCCCCGGGGCTGGAGACGGACGCCGCGTTTGCAGTCCAGGTGCGTGTGCTATTCTGTTGTCTGGAGCGTGGTGCACGCCCGTAGCCGCCCCCTGCTGCTCCTCAGACTTCATAATGACTATTTCTAATAACCCGTCATTTGCTCAGCCGGGCCTCCAGCCCCATCTCAATTTTCTGCCATTACAGATCATTTTGCAAGAAGGCATTTTCATACTTATTTTTTCCCTTTCTTTGAATTATTTCCTTTACCAAATTTCCAGAGCTGGGGTAATTTGGGCATTGCGACAACACTTGCTTATCCAGTTGTGCGCCGCGTTGTACGCGCCTCACACTCACGGTGTGTATTTACGTGTGCCGTGTTCTGTCTGCGGTGTGTGTTTCTCTCTCATCAGGGGCTCATTACCATGACAATTGCTCTCCCCGTCTAGATTCAGAAAGGCAAGAGTTTTGGGGGGGAAAAAAGTCGAATTACTCAAGGAAAACGGAAACTTGGCAAGAAAGACTGATTTGCGATTCTTCGTGGGAACGAGAGTAGGGACTCTGCCTCAGCGCTGGGGTATTAACCTGTCTGACCGCGATCATTAGCGGCCCACTGGTCAGGTTATTATTGGACTCTAAAGAAGGCGGCGTAAGGATAACGCTCACTTTCCATTTTAGCTAGAAACTCAAGAGGGGGTGGGCGAACCAGAAATTGCGGGAGAACAATATCTTTCTTTGATGCAGCTGGGGACAGGAACACCTAAGAGGGAAGAGGAGGGTAGAATTGCTTTTAAGGGGCAGTTTGTTTTTTTCTAACGTCTGGGTGTATTTCAAGCCCAACTATTGTCCAAGGACGGCGGAAAGAAAGCCGATGCGTTTCGGTGTGTGCTCCTGCCTGGAATGGAACCGTCTGAGCTCAGGGCTGAATCAGAAACAAGACTGGGACACGTTCGGGTGTCTGAGTCCCTGTTCCCGGAGGCACACGGATAATGCTGCAGGCATCAGGATCGGCTCCACTGGGACCGGAAAACGTGTCAACGGGAGAGACCGTCAAATTCTAGTAGTGAAGACAGTCGTCGTCCCTCCCTCCCTCTGCCGACGGCATCTGTGCTCACGCCGCTCCCGGGGCAGGCCTTTGTGGTGCCATTCCCAGGGTTGCTCTGTGTTGGTTTCTGTGTTCCTCCCCTAGTCTGAGCACCTTGACCATGGAGCCTTGATCGCATGTCCTCGAAACCCTGCGGATACCAGGCATCTGTTAGATGCTCGATCGCTGGTTGGTTAATGAATGCAGATTGTTCAGAAGGAACAAAATGACGAAGGCCCATTCATACACGATGGTAAGGAGTTAACCAATCCACGAGTGCAAAGGACCGAGAGTGCGCTTAAAACAAAACCGAGGCGAGAGGAGGGCCTGGGCAGAGAAGCCTGAGGAGAGGCAGAGGTTTCCCGAGATGGGTGACGTGCGAACTGTGGCTGTGGGACCCCGTCGTGACTCTTGGCTCTTGCTGGTGACGACATGTCCCCTCTCTGAACCTCAGCGTGCTCTTCTCCAGAGATCGATGACTGTTCTCTGTCGCATAAAGAGGAGGCGAAAGGTGAATGACATTGTCCTACCGTTTTAAAAGTGCCCTGCACATACCAAACGCTCAATAAACGGTAGCTTCTTCCCTCTGCGCTATTCAGAACAGTGGTTTTCAGCCTTTCTCTTGAGCCACAGAGCCTTCCTGTAGGTAGACTCTGTCTTGGACACACTGAGAGAAGACAGGCAAGTGAGGTCGCTCTGTGTGAATCTCAGGGTGGGGAGCGTCGCCTGCCCTGCGGCCCCCCCGCTCCTCCTCGCAGAGCCTCCCCGGAGGACGCACGCCAAGTATCTCTGTGCGACAAGCACCTGAAGACCCTCAAGGGTGCCTCTGTGCAAGGCCAATCCTGCCGACACCGCCAAACGCTGGCTGCTGTTTCCTGAATCCTACGGCGCAGCGGGCAGACACGGAATTCAGGCCGGGACAAGCCATGGCCGACACGGAGCCAGAGTCTGATCTTTCCAGTTCAACGTGCGGAATATGCCCCCGTCTTGCCCCCGTCTCCGAGAGGGGCGCGCGGGTGGGTGACGTTTTAGAAATGGAAGGCAAAGGGGTTGCCAGCCCCTTGGAGTTGTCCATGTGGATGTTGTGCTTTATAACTGGCTTCCGTCTGGTGGGGGGAACACAGAAGCACTTTGGAATTAAGTACAGACACCCCTCGGTTTATTGCGCTTCCCTTTACTGCTCCCCACAGATGTTGCATCTTTTACGAACGGAAGGCAAGACCCTCCACCAGCAAAAAGATTACAACTCTCTTTATTGAGACACTCACCTTATCGAGGTGGGCTGGGAGCTGACCCACCATGTGAATTTAAGAGTACTACTAATACTTTTCACTCACAGAACGTTTTTTTAATTTAAATTTTTTATTTATTTTATTTATTTTTAGAGAGGGAAGGGAGGGAGAAAGAGAGAGAGACATCAATGTGTGGTTGCTGGGGGCCGTGGCCTGCAACCCAGGCATGTGCCCTGGCTGGGAATCGAACCTGCGATGCTTTGGTTCGCAGCCCACGCTCAATCCACTGAGCTATGCCAGCCAGGGCTTCACTCACAGAACTTGTATAGCTGTTATTGTTAAGTGAGCAACCGAAACCTTATTTGTTCCCGATGTTCTCTTTATGTTTTCATGGATGGGATCAGCTACCGTTGAACCCTCCGTAGAAGCCCGAGGGATACGAGGGTGAGCAGGAAGCGGCCACCTGCGGGGAGCGTTCAGGCCGGGGTGGGGGGGGAGTCCGGTGTGCTAACAGGCCCGCTAGAGTCAGCAAAGTGCACGCTGGTGGGGGATGGGACCGGAGCGCCGTCCCCAGACGCCGGGCACAGAGGGAACGCGGGTCATGAGGTTAACCATGGTCCGAGACTAGTTCCTAACCAAGTGGATGAAAAACCCTACAGTTCTAGTTTGGGGATTTTCAAATAATTCATGCTATTTGAAAGTAACAAAATATAACTGTTTTCATGATCTTGAGAAACTTATACTTTCACTGATATAAATGATCTTTCCCTACTGATGTCAGTTTGGGGAAACATTAGTATACTAATAAAAGCCAATCTTTCATTTCCCTGATCTCTAAAAGTGTGTTAGATGCATGAATGTTGCAACGATAAGCAAGGTGACGACGGAGAAGCTGATTATGCTGCGTGAGGTGAGTAGACATCCTAGACTTGGGCGGAATACAGGCCATTTAACAATAACCAAATGCTTTCCATTTTTATCATTTAATAAGAAAAACGACTGTCATCATCTCTTGAGATGATGGTGCTTAAAGGGAGGTGGCAGCGTGACTGATGCGTCTGCGAGGTGAGGGCCGCAGAAGGTCCGACTCCTTGGCCGAGTGTGTAGGAGGCAGTTGGCTCATCGGAGGGAGATGGATGCGGTTCTGCTGGTAGCCGGGGGCTGGCCGGGGCTGAGCCCCAGCCAGAGGGAGGCGGCTGTCCTTTGCCGGGGAAATCTCCCAGGCGTGGGCTTCCCCTTGGAGAACTCCAACGGTGAGGGAAGGCAGGGAGGGGGCGGACGAGGTCAGAACCCAGAAGGCCAAAGAAAGGTCTGTGTCCCCGTTTCTCTCGGGAAGACAGCTGTGTGTTCACAGGAGGGGACGGGGCCAGTGGGGCAGGTCCCTGAAGGGCTGACATGGTTGAGGGGTTCTCGGTTGAAGGGGGAGGGTGTCCTGACCCCCTGAGACACTAACGGTGGGGACTAATGCTGGGGGGATTCGGAGCCTTCCCCCTGGGGGGATTATATTCTTGGTGAAGTCGCAGCTGGGTCCTCTGCAGACAGTGAGCATGGCAGGTTTAGGGAAGCAAAGAAAAGGGCAGGGGCTCTCTGTCCAGGGGCAGGGAGGGCTCAGCTGGAGTCTGATACATTGGACTGCAATGGCCCTGTTTGGCACTGTTGGCGCCTGGTCCACTAGGGGGCAGTAGAGCTGCGGGCA